GGCAGCTACTTTTTATATGACGGTTTGCAGGAATAGGGAAATATATGGATCGTGGTGGGAGGGAGCCTTCCCCGCAGGTTATCGTGGTTTAACTACTGGGATCTTACTAGCTTTGTAGTGGGAGGGGGGTCATGGCTGGGGCAAGAATTGACAATGTCATCCGGGGTTCCAATGGGCTCGCCGTCGGGAGTGTGTGTGTACTCACCTATTTGTGGTTGCAGGGGTCGAGTCCTAGCTCCTGGCCCCGCCTCTTCACCGGTTGCTACTAGACCCTCTCTCTCCCCGCTCCATGAGCTTTATCAAACCTCGTCTTAAAACTGTGTATGGTTCCTGCCTCCACTACGTCATTTTCTAGGCTATTCCACTGCCTTACAACTCTATGACTGAAGAAATACTTCCTACTATCTCTCTGACTCATTTGTGTCTTCAACTTCCAATTGTAGCCTCTTGTTTCTGTGTCCCCTCCCTGGAACATCCTGTCCTTGTCCCCCTTGTCTATTCCATGCAGTATTTTTTATGTCGTTATCATGTCCCCCTGACCCTCCTGTCCTCCAGTGTCGTCAGGCCGATTCCCTTTAAACTTTCTTCATAGGACATTCCCCTTAGCTCTGGAACTAACCTTGTTGCAAAACCTTTGTACTTTCTCTAGTTTCTTGACGTTGCTTTTTCAGTGCGGGTTCCAAACAGGTGCTGCATACTCCAGTATGGGCCCGACATACACGGTGTACAGTGTCTTGAATGATTCCTTACTAAAAGGGGTCGGAATGCTGTTCTCAGGTTTGCCAGGCGCCCATATGCTGCAGCAGTTATCTGATTGATGGTGCTTCCCGGGGCATGCTCGGTGTTATACTCACCCCAAGATCTTTCTCCTTGAGTGAGGTTTGCAGTCTTTGGCCACCTAGCCTATACTCTGTCTGTGGTCCCTTTTGTGCCCTTCCCCTATCTTCATGACTTTGCATTTGGAAGGATTAAATTCGAGAAGCCATTTGCTGGACCAGGTGTCCAGTCTGTCCAGGTCTCTTTGAAGTCCTGCCTGGTCCTCATCAGATTTAATTCTCCTCATTAACTCACATCATCTGCCCAAAAAGGGACACTTCTGAGTCTAACCCTTCCCTCATGTCGTTCACATATACCAAAAATAAACACTGGTCCTAGGACCGACCCCTGTGGGACCCCGCTCGTCACAGGTGCCCACTGTGATACATCATTACGTACCATGACTCGTTGTTGCCTCCCTGTCAGGTATTCTCTGATCCATTGCAGTGCCCTTCCTGTTATATGCGCCTGATGCTCTAGCTTCTCACTAAACTCTTGTGAGGAACTGTGTCAAAGGCCTTCTTGCAGTCAAGAAGATGCAATCAACCCACCCCTCTCTCTTTGTCTTACTTCTGTGTGTGTGTGTGTGTGTGTGTGTGTGTGTGTGTTGTGTGTGTGGTGTGTGTGTGTGGGTGTGTAGGTGTGTGTGTGTGGGTGTGTGTGTGTGGGTGTGTGGTGTGGTGTGGTGTGGTGTGGGCGTATGGCTTAGATGTAAACGAGGGAAGGTTCAGTGTACTTAATAGGTGTTAGGAGGTGCGTGTGATGACAGCTGAATTAAGCGTGTGATCCAGTTTGATAGTGGGGATTTTAGGTTTATATTTTTGCGTACATGTCTCACGGGATGATAACTGCATTACCCTCTGTGTGTATAACGCCATGCTGTGCTTGGTCACTTACCATCATACCTATGTAAGAGGGTTGAGGTATATATTATTGTTTAGAGGTATTGTCCGTATGCTGTAAGAATGCTTGGGTTGATAGAGTAGTTTTTATTTGTGTTCGCATTAGGCTATGGAAGCCTGTGCTGTGAACTTGATTTTGTTGACAGACTTTACTTTACATGATGATATATCAATGTATGTGTACAACATTATGATAATTTAGTAATTGTGGCCAGTGTATTTGGCGGAGGTGTGTGTACCTCAGGCGGAGGTGTGTGTACCTCAGGCTGTTACAGATACTTCTGTATGACTTACTCCCAAGAAAGGTTTTTTTATTAGGAATATGCGTTTCTTTTACAATAATATATATGTGTGAATTTTTGTACTTACACCTACATGGGTATGTTTGTTTTCTTTTGTCAGCTGTAAGTTACACTTCTGTAGAAGTGAGAGGTGATAATTTCAAGTGTTTTTCTTATATATACTGATAGGTGGCTTGAGTGATGTATAGTGTGCTTGATGGTCTTTCTTTTTCGTTTTGTCTGTGACAGGTTGCTTCTCCTGTGTCCAACAACATGTGCGTGTGTGATAATGTATGTATGTACTTATTGTTCACAATAGTTTTATACTATATATATATGTATTATGTCTACAAAATTTGCTCTTATGTATGTACTTATTGTTCTCTACAGTGTTATACTATATATATATATATATATATATATATATATATATATATATATATATATATATATATATATATATATATATATATATATATATATATATATGTATTATGTCTGTACAAGATATGCTATCAATAAAATATATAAAAAAAAAGAAATTCAATAATATGAATATTTCCTTTGGTTTATATAAATTAGATCCATTTATAATTAATAGAATTTGGGAAGAATTTAATAATACATTGGACAAATAATAATTTTTAAATTTCTTATTTCTTGAGTAGAATAGTTTGTTGGTGGGTTGTGTGTAGTGAGGTGTGGGCTACCCATGGCCAAAACGACATGGGTTCGAGTTCTTGGCTAGTCGCAGTGTTGTTATTGATTAAGTACCATTCGTTCGTGATTACAATAATATATATACTGCTTGCGGGGGCTAGTACACCAAACAGTGAGTAGAATGAAATTAGCTCAAAGGCACCCACACCACCATATGTTCTCAGATCAAGGTAAAACACCTAGCTCTGCTGGGTGCTTTATTCTTGTAGGATTTGGTGGTCCTGTGGGTTTGAGCATCATGTGATTTTCGCTCACCATGAGGCGGGCCAAAACGACATGGATTCAAGTCCTTGGCTAGTCGTAAAGTTGTTATTGATTAAATACCACTCGTTCGTGGTTACAGTAATATATATATGCAAACAATTGCAGACAGGCGATCTTAACTATGCAAGACAAGCCATGGGGGTGGAAATCTTTAGCTCAAGTACTTTCACACTTCTCAGTGTTGCAAGGCAGCAACTGAAGGAGTGAGAAGTTTTCTCTGAGTAGCGCAGTGAGGATCTGTCACCTGCCGCAGGCTCTCCTACCCCATATGGGGGGAGGGATAGTAGTGGGTGAGGATGGCACAAACCGTTGGCCCACATTCTGAGAGAGCCTTCGGCAGGTGACAGATCCACCCTGCACTACTCCGAGAAAACTTTCCCTCACTCCTTCAGCTGCTGCCTTGCAACATTGCATAACTCCTGATGAGGCACTGAGAAGTGTGAAAGTACTTGTGTTAAAGATTTCCACCCCCGTGGTTTGTCTTATATATTTATATATATATATATATATATATATATATATATATATATATATATATATAATATATATATATATATATATATATATATATATATATATATACATTATGGAATAAGATCTCAGTAAACAGGTGATATGATTATTCGCACTCTCAGAAATTTCAGCAAGATTTATTCTCCCAGTACCTAATACTGTGATCACCTAACCTTACTTGGCTGACTTCTCACGCATGAATTGATCACCACATTCTGACACCACAGGACCTCTCTCTTTTACCCTTATATATACTAAGAGTTTTTGGTGGGCGGAGCGTCTTCATTATACAATGCTATAACCCGGATTGCGTCTTGTTTAAACTTAACTAGCGGTCATACGATGTAACGTAGGTGTTAGGGTAAAGGGCGGGGGGCATGTAGGATTGTGGTGAATTTAACTAGTTGTAAAGTGATGTCATACTGGTGAGTGGTGAATCAACTAGATACCAAGCCATGTGGTACAGGAGTGTGTTGAATTCAGCTAGATGTAAAGCGATGTGATATTCAGTAGAAGTGTGGCTAATTCAATTAGCTGAAATGTAATGTAGGAGTCGGGTGGATACAAGTAGCGGTCAAGGGCCCATCCGACATTTGCCCGGGGCTAACTAACGGAGGCTAGCATTTAGCATGACAGTGTGACGGAGGTAGGTGCGGCAGTCTCCATTCCTGTTGCTTGTTTAAATGAACCTCAATTCATCCTCCTCCAACTCTCGAGTCACCGTTAGTACCACACTGCCCCGGCCCCGACATAAGAAAACATATAAAATAAACACAGGAATTAAGAGGCTGACCATAATCAATAGGTCTGTGATATTTGTTTAGGAATTATTTCATGCGACCACCTTGGCAAAAATCACTCTTACTATTGGTGGTAGTGGCAAGTGTATCAAATATATATAATATATATAGCCTCTTCATCAAATATCCATGCACATCATCCACATTTTTCAATCCGGCATTGTTACCGAGAGGAGTGATAAGAGTGATAATTTCAACGAAATATACAGATTTCGAGATGCCTACACGTACTACTGGTCCCTCTTGGCAGACAGCCTAGATTTGGGTTATGGGAGTCTTCGGTTGTCTGCTTTTCTATGTAGTTCCATTATCAAAATGTAGAATAGTGGGGGAATTAAAGAATAATAAAAGAAGCTAATAAGGAAGACTAAACAATTATGAGTTTTCACGAATAACACATTGTTTACTTCCCGTTGATACGCCCATTGTTCTATAACAAAAGCTTTCATACAAAAAATCAGATTTATTTCTCACTTTAGCTCTTTTATTTGCGGAAATATTATTCATAGGTGTGTCCGTTATATTGTTTGCTGCCTGGGATGGAGATTGATGAAGATGGGAGGGAAGAGAGTGCAGGAAGGAGGGGAGACGAGAAAAAATTAGAAAGGATCGGAGAGAGGGTTGGGATGACTGGTTGGCAGGAGGGGGGCGAAGACTCCGTATATATAGCACTGACGTCTCCTCTGTACACATAAGCGAACTGATCCACCATGGCTGCAAGATTCTTTCTCTTCTTCGGCTTCCTAATGGTGAGTTGAGCAAGAAAATATATCTTTTTTTTCCGCCTTGTGTTTGAGATAATAAGAATATGTAATTCTGTTACCTTTGTGCTACTGCTTAACAGACAGTAATTCTTTAATCACTGTATTAATTTATTCTGGCAGGTGATGTGTCAGTTGATGACCGCAGAGGGAAGGGTTAGTATCATGTATCATTTGGTGAGTTACATACGATGCACTATTGTCGTGAGTCTGTACTCACGTAGGTGTGTGTGTGTGTGTGTGTGTGTGTGTGAGTAATTACTTGTAATTACTTTGTTGTGTCTGCGGGGTTGAGCTATAGCTATTTGGCCAGGCTCCGCCTTTGCACTTCAGTTAACTGATTAAACTTACCCTCTGCTCGTGAGAGCTATTGTCATATCTACTTTCGAAGCCATATACTGAGGTAGCCTCCACCTATTCCTTCTTTATGTATTCCATTCTTTTGCTACTTCTCGTATTGAAGGAATTCTTTCTTATGTCAATTTGTTTCATTTTAACTTCCAGTTTCCAGTTGTATCTTATTGTTCCCCTTTCTCTCATCTCAAAGAGCCTAACTCATTAAAGAATATCTACGTTTTTAGCCAGCTTGGTGAATAAGACCCATGGGCAACACCTGTGCATCTTTAATTAAGAATCATTTCGCCCACCATTGTTTTTCATCAGAAACTTGATTTGATCACCGTTGAGGTAGTAGCCAGATGTGATGCGCGGTGCACTTGTAGTAATAGTAACGTAAACATGGACGGGGCTTGCTTACGGAGATGTTATTTTAGCTATGGCCGAATATTTGTGTTTTAAAAACTTCAAAGATACTGAAACTACCTGTGTTAAAACACGGGTTTTTGATGTAATAATAATAGATTATTTTAAACTTATCTAAATAATATATGAATTGGTTTGACAGAGCTCCCTGGTGGGAGACACGTTGCATTAATACCTCATTAAATCGCATGTGTTCATTTACCTATTGTCAGTGTTACTACCAAAAAGTCGCATGCTATTCTATTGTTTTTTTTTTATCGTTCTGGGAAAGGCATCCTCCAGAGCCAAGTCTCAGACCAGACCTCGTGGATGACGGACGACCTTGCCATCCAGGCTGCTGATGTTCATTACACGCAGCCCAGCATAAGCTCCATTCCCTAATTTTCAAAGATGCAAGCATATGTTCTGGTTATTTTTTGTATTGTATGTGCTTTTAATGTATCTTGTTCCTATAATATCGATGGACTGACACTTCTGTACTAGGACGCAATCTCTTCGCGCGACTCTTCTTACTGAGACAGCTTTAATTTAAATTTTCTATCCACTTGTCCTGACATTTACCTTCACATTAATAATAACATCAAATTGAAATATGATTTCAAACCCTTATTTTTCTTTGAGTTCTGACATCTAGCCAGACAAATTTCGTTAAAATATGAAAGCTGATATAACTAATAATATTACATTTTAAGCTTTAATTGCATTTTAAAGTAGTTAGATTTTGATTAATATGCAATATAACCAGTGTACAGTATAAACTTCAGTTATTATCTTTATGGTCCAATCTAAGCTAATTTAATCCAATTTAAGTAACTTTATTCTTTTTACGTTTTGACATAATTCTTTTGAATATTAACAAGATAGCTGAAAAATTAAGGCATACCATGACTTTTTGCATTTCAGTTTATAAATTATCTCACGAGATAATAAATACAATAACAGCCCTTAAAAATCCGAAAATTTTGCTTCTCTCAATTATTTCTTTATTCGTCTGTGCTAGTGAGACTACGCAACAAATTCCCTAACATTTATTGTGAATTTAAAATACATTTTGTTTATTCCGTTGCACTCATATAAAGTAAAACTGATAATTCCAAGTAAGCAATTACCCTATTTTCCATAGTCATCAGGCTCTTGGTGTAGAGATGAGTAAGACACATGTGCAACAGTTAGGTATCATCAACGGTAGGGTGTCTGATCCTTTTGACCGTGTGTCTCCGTTTTTGCATATCAAGTGTCATATGTTTTACGAAAATATTAGGTGATAATACCTTTAAGCTGCCTTTACAGAGTGACATATTATTTACCGCACAAATGTAACCTTGTAAAACGCAGACTGGTAAAGTATTTGACCAGAGGTTTTAGAACTACGTACTGCGGAAAGAGTATATTTCTTTATGCACCGAAGTAATAATCAATAAATTTCCTTCTCTGCTCAGACGTTGTGCTGAGCAGTTGTCAGCTGCTTCTCCTCAGTCCCGACACCTGGTGGCGTTTTTACAGCATCAACAACAATGGCGACTGCGTTTCGCCGGCGTGTTAATACTGTTTGTATTCAACTAACGCAGGGCTCTATCACCAGCAAATCAATGAATGTGTTAATGCCAGCAATCATTCGTGATACATATGGCATTCAGCGTGAATCCTTGTGTGGCGTCGCCTTGAATGGAACTACACGGATCTTCGTCAAGTTTTGTGACACTCAGATGTACGAGAAGATTGTGACCCAGTACCAGAATATAAGTAAGCAAGTCACCCCAGCAGTTTCTGTCCAGTTGCATGACGTTTCACGGTACTATACGTGGGTACGTGTGCGAAACGTGCCTTTTGAGGCCAATGAAGTTGATATATGTGACGTTTTTGAACGTCACGTATATCAACTATCCACCTGGTCACCATGGGTAAGTGGTCTGACAGCCACTATGCTGGTCTTCAGGAGGGACCATTTACGTTGAAAATGTCCTTGCGTCAGCCGATTCCTTCATTCGTGCACCTGGAGGATTTTCGTACCCAGGTGTACGTTACGTATCCTGGCCAGAGAAGAACTTGCCGACTCTGCGGCGCTTTGGATCACATAGCGCCTCAATGTGTTCAGCGCCAGCCGCCCTCGGGGCGTAGTCGTCGTCCTGACGGCGAGGTACCCCGTCAGGCTCCGGAAGAAGAGGTTGTCGAGGACTCGCCCCGTCTGACATCATGGAGTGCTGAGGTTGATCGGGCCATGCTACTAGAGTCATCTTGTGTGACTCTACCTGGGACTGCCTCCCTTGACGAGGTGGAACATGTGAGCAGTGAAATCCCTCTAGCAAGAGAGGCAGGTGATATGGAGGCCGACATTGTATCTGCGTTGAGTGACATATTAGCATCGCATGAGTCTGATTCTGTGCCATGTGTGCCTTCGATGAAGGTTTCTGATGAGGTGAGATTACGTGTGGATGAGGCTGATCAGATAGCTGAAGTGCGAGATTTGGAGAGTTCGAGGGTTCATACTGTTGAGGCTGAAATTCACAAGGAGTACACTCCAAGTACAGACATGTCTGAAGATGCTGTTTCTAGGAAGCGTGCGGCTACCCCGTCCGACTCCGATGATATCTTGACCCCTGGACAACGTTCAGGGAAGAAGACGTGGTCAGAAATCATGGGTGGGGGGAGGTTGCGCGAGTCCAGGACAGCAGGTAATATCACAGGGATTGCCAAAGGTGTGGGAAGTGCCTTGGGTGCTTGCCGACGCAAAGAGAAAAAGGGAGTGGTAGCCCCTAGAGGAAAGCCACCTGTAACATAGTTAGGTGTGTAACTATTAATGTTAATGGTTTGAAATCTGTCAGAAAGTGTGTGCAAGTGCGTGAGTGGTTGAATCGTTTTGCAGTAGATGTGTGTTTTTTGCAAGAACATAACCATAAGGTAGGAAGTTTGTTTGAGATGGATGGTTATGACATTTATGTGACTCACTCCAGACGTCTGAAAGGTGGAGTGGCTGTGTTGATAAAAGCGACCAGCTCGTTTGTGATGCGACATTGGGAGGAAGGGGGGAAGGGTCGCATGGTGCGAGTCGTGGGGGATTGGGGTAGTAGAAGGGTTGGTTTTGTAGGGGTATATGGGCCGGCTGGACATGATGTTAATATTAAAAATACCTTTGTTAGAGATGTTTTAGTGTATTATTTGAGGTCCCTGCCGGAAATTACAGTGGTCAGTGGTGATTGGAACTGTGTGGTGCGCCGTAAAGACGTTGAACCGAGGGGGGCAGGTTTCTGTTCGCTTATTTTGGGTGACTTGTTGTCTGGGCTGGGGTTGGTAGATGTATGCGGAGGACGTGATTTGGGGATTGAGCATACTTTTGTACGTAGGGGCTATGCAGCATGTTTAGATAGGGTGTATGTGTCTCAGCGGGTGGTCGTAATCAATGTGCTTGTGTTGAATGTCTTTTTCTCTGACCACCGGGGAGTTTTTGTAAAGCTCGACTTGGGGGGTCTCCCGAATCGTTTTAAGGGGTACTGGAAATTGAATACGCTGATGTTACAAAGTGCAAATGATCGGGAACTATTCGCGGACTTATGGGCGTCTATGGGAGTAGACTCCTGGGAGGGGTGGAATTTAGTGCGATGGTGGGATGAGGTTGTGAAGCCTCGAATTAAGGATTTGTATGTGCATCGGGGTAATGAGGCCACTCGCATGGAGTATGGTTTTCTGAGGTATCTGGAGAGTCAACTACAACAATGTTATGTGCAGGGAGAGGCATCTGGGGTTTACCCAGTGGATGAGATTGATGCTCTTAGGAACAAATCCAGGTATTGAAAAATGAGATTTTCGATGGGGCGCGCATTTCGAGTGGAGTGGACGAGGCTTTGTGGGGTGACAAACCGTCTACTTGTGTCTTACAAAGTCAGACACAAAGACGAAAGGCGACTGACATCGTGAGTTTAGCGGTACAGGATTAGGTTGATGGGTATAGTGAGGGACAGGTCTTAACAACAACTGAGGGAATAAGTTTTTATGTTGATACTTGGAGTAAGCTCCAGATGCAGAGTAAAGACGTGAGTGAGCATGCAATACAGGAATTTGGGAGAGGAGTACGTTGCGAGTATGACCGCCTTCTCATGGGTGGGCCTATATCTGAGGCAGAGGTGTGGGAGGCACTGCAAGGAATGAGTAAGGGGAAGGCACCAGGCATTGATGGCATCCCTTGTGAATTTTATATCAAACATTGGGAGGTAATACGGACTTTTATGGTTCGTTTCCTCAATGCGATGAAGGGAGGTGGGGGGTGTTAGGCCTGTCTCAGCGTACAGCAGTGTTGGTCTTAGTTAGGAAATGTGATGTGCCGTTAGCAATTAAGGACTACCGTCCCATATCGTTGATGTGTAGTGACTATAAACTATATGCGAAAATTTTGATGAATAGAATTAAGAAAGTGTTTGATAAGGTAATCCATAAGAGTCAGTTTGGTGTGCCAGGTAGGTCAATGTATGATGGTCATGGGAATATCAGGGAGTTTGTTGAGGAATGCGGGGCGAGGGGTGGGGGTGGTGTTTTGGCTTTAGACTGGCGAGCCACTTTTGATAGTGTGGAAAGGGAGGTTCTGTGGAAATTTATGAGATGGCAGGGTTTTGGAAATGAGGTCATCATGTGGGCCCGTTCGTTGTACAGTGGAGCGGGATTTAAAGTTTTCTTATTTCTGTTTATACTTTATGCCGTGTTCGTGTGCTTTTCAATTGTATATGTTACTATGCAAGTATTTGTTTTTCTGTAAGCTGTGATGGAGCTTGCACTATATGTGGAAGCAGTTTCAATGTTTGCCTTTCGTCAGTGTATAAGTTCACTTATAGCTGCTTGCATTGTCTTTTCTTGTGTTTATTTGAGATGTCAAATATCACAGTGTAGTTTCGTTCGTTTTATTATTATATTTTCATTTTTGTGAATTATAGCGTCATCCTGTTTCCACCTTTGCTCTGTAAATGCCTATTCTTAGTCAATGATAATAACCCCGTGGTAGTCGCCCAAATTAACGTATTGTTGTGTTCTGAGCACCTCTGCAAAAACAGTGATTATGTGTGAGTGAGGTGAAAATGTTGAATGATGATGAAAGTATTTTCTTTTTGGGGATTTTCTTTCTTTTTTTGGGTCACCCTGCCTCGGTGGAAGACGGCCGACTTGTGTGTTGGCAGGCGGAAGCCATGCCTAGTTATATGCCAGATGTAGTATCATGTTGTATAATACATGATTGCTTGTATATGTGTAATTCTGTGTGCTAGTTTTTGTCACATTATTTTTGCATAGTCTTTATATTTTCCAGTGTTTTCATTTTATTATTTATTATACAATGATAATCTTGTTAGTGCCTAGTATCTCGTTGACATATTAATTGATGCATTTATATATATTTTGTACCTGAATGTTAAATAAAATAAAATAAAAAATAATCAATAAATTGTACTACAAGTATTTCTTAATTAAAGCCATTTAATGTGCTGGAGATACTAAATTAACACCGGTAACAAGATTGTGGCTCCTTAATTTTATCTAGAACTTCACAATATTTTTTACTACTCTTTACATGTTACCTCTGAAGTGATTTAAGACAATAATTAAAAGTTTTGGATACGTGTACATTAATTACATATGCACTAACTGCAATTTTAAACTACATTTTAATAATGCCTTTTTCAATTGACTTAAATCTTTTAACATTTGGCATGTTCGTACAGCGAAACTTCCTACTGAATATCAGCTGTTTAAGTAGGTTGAGCTCTAGCTTCAGGACTTGCTGTTAACCTAGTTGTGCTTGAGAGCGTTCAGCTTCAACAGCTGTGTGAGTTGGTCGAGTTCCAGCTTATGGAACTCAATAAACTACATTTAAGTTATTGGTTACTTATAGCTTAGCAACATCCGCAACTAACCATCATAAATCATCATTTTGTTAATATTCCCCTTCTGTCTCTACCAAGATATAACTTTGAAAAGATATTTTCTATATTCCAGTGAAATTTACTATAAATAATTAGTCTTAAAATAGTTTATCTGTAAGGTTTCTAAGCTCATTCTGGTTTTTCCGTGACAGAGTTTTGAAGTGCCAGGCTCCAGGAAGGTTTCCACATCCTGAAGACTGCGGCAGCTACATAGACTGTATACCAGTTGGTTCCGACGGTCAACTCACGGCAAACGAAGGTCACTGTTTTGGTTTTCCCTATTCCTCTGCCGATCGTCGCTGTGTTTCCCATGATCAGCACCCGGGATGCAAAACTAAGAAATCAAGAAACAGCATCCCACTACCAGGTCTTCAGTTCCTGTGTGAAAAAAACAAGCCCGTAGGCTGCTACCACTGCAAGCTCGCCTACAAATGCATTGATGGTACCCCGTATGTCTCCTTGTGTCAACACACCGAGACATGTTTAGAAGATGAAGCTTTTGGAGGAGGAGCATGCTTGCCATATGGTTTCCCATCAGTTAATGATAGATGCATTTGTACGGGAACGGGGTTAATGTCTGATAGTTATAATGATACTTATTACATTTATTGTGACACAAGTGCTATTCCTGTAACCATGGAGATGTTTGAATGCCCAGAAGGCAAGACCTTCACAAGTTCTAGTAACACCTGTGAGGGCTTCGCACGGCCTCCACAACACTGGGAAACACCAGAAACTCCTCTTTGCGATGGACCGTCAACCACCAGAGTCAACCCCAACAACTGCAGCTTCTCTTACACCTGCCTTCCTGACAACACCACCAGATCGTCCTACTGTGGTAACAGAAGTTATTTCAACCAGGACACCGGCAGGTGCGAAGACAAGTGTTCCTTTGTCACCACTGTATCTTCTGATGCTATCTTATGCCCAGAACGAGGAAATCTGAATCATCCTACAGATTGCACTAAATATTATGTCTGCTTAAACAAATACGAAGCACCGTATGCCTTGCAGTCATGCCCAACTGGACACTTTGACTTCATAACGCAATCTTGCGTGTCAGGGCCTCTTCCTCCTGAGTGTGCGGTCTTCACTTACAGTAAGTGTCCCGGACACGATATGTTGGTGTGTTAGAGAAGCCTTGATAATTAGACACGATGTCCTTAATGAGAAGACATAATAATGTCTTCGTTGGTATCAGAAACGAGAACCAGTGTAATAGCCTAATCTGCTGTAAATATTGCTTAAAGCTTCAGTACATTTTATTAATTATGAATGCATCTAGCTAATAAATTGCTGGACCATTTACATTTCAAGCTGACCTAGTGTTTGCCAAACTTGATTATTATATTATTCTCATCAATAATTTTCTAAGATTTTAACCAATAAATACGATAATTAAAATCTACTACATATAATAATAAG